CGTTTAGTTTTTATGGTTTTAAAAGTTAATGATTGGGACCGGCAGATGGTGTAATGGCTACAATGGAGGACTCCCACGTAATTGATGCAGACCCCGCCAGGGGCATGGGTGTGCTTGCCCAAAATCCCAAGAGGAAAATGGAGGAGAAGGGATTACAGCATGGCCATCCCTCCTGGGGGGTGATTTCTTGCTTTCTGTCTGTCTCTCTGGCAAGGGCACGTGCGCTATCGCAAAAAAAAAAAAAAAAATCTCTCTTGAAAAATAATTTAAAAGTTAATAATTTAAGTAATCCAGGCAAAAAAGCCAGAACCTATCGCATGAGGAGAAAAGCCTAGGCTGCTTTGTCCCGAGAAGGCCCTGGGCCCAGAAGCACGGCCAGTGCCATCTGCTCCCCACCCTGGCATGGTCTCAGAGAAGCAGGCTATACTGGCCCTGCTTCTCAGCCCAGGGCCTCCTCAGAAACATGCATCTCTGGGACCAGTAGTTAGCATAATGGCTATGTTGCTGGACTCCCATGTAATCAACCCTTGGTTCGAGTCCTGGACCAGGTGGCTTAAACTCACGCCAGGTGCCTGTGCGTGCATGCTCAAGATCCCGAGAGAATGGAGGAGAAGGGATTGCGGCGTGACCATCCCCCCTGGGGGGTGATTTCTCGCGTTCTGTCTCGCTGGCGAGGGCACGCGCCCTATAGCAAAAATCCTTTCCAAAAAAAAAAGAAAACGTGTTTCTGTTCACTCAGGTCACGGTGTGGTGCCTTCTTTCTAAGACTGCTGAGAGGGCCCAGAGGGGAGGGTGCCAACATCAGGAACCAACTGATATCTAGGGAAGCCGCCCCCTGAGAGCCCCTGGGATAAGGCAGAGCCAGTAATGCGGTACCCTGAGTGACCCTGACAGCACCCGTGTCCTCAGCTGCTGACGGCCAAGTCCAGGGCTTCCATGGCTGCGTCAGGCGCTGCTCAGCTCCCCTGGCAGCGGCACCACCTTACTGTCCAGCAGGGCTGGGGGAGGCTGCTGGGTCTAAAACTCAGCCCTCCGCCCACCAGCAGTGCTTGGGACTTGGACCGTGCCCTGCTCTGCCTGGAGGGGAAAGGGTGACAGGCCGCCACGTGGAAGGGCCATGTTTGTTTGTTCGTTCGTTTTTCATCTGCAGCCACTTTGTGTGTTCACTTCGTGAATGTGCTTTTTTTCCTTAGGCAAAAATGTAAGTGTCAGTTTCCATCAGCAGCTGCAGCGTTGAGAATGAGCGACAGTCTTAGCCAGGGTGTCTAGAGAGAGGCTCTGAGCACCCATATAGCCGACATTGATTTCTTTGCCTGGAAATAAAAAAACAAGTGCAGTGTCTGTGAGTCGTGTTTGGATTTGCATTATAAACTACAATGCAAATGAATGCCACCTGTGAGCATAATCTACAGGTCCCCAAACTGTTTGGATTTGATGCCTTTGTAAGAAAAGTGTGCGTTAACTGGAACCCTGACGTTCTCTGAGTGCTTGGGGTTCGAGGTTGCTCCTGTCGATGACGCGTTTTCTCTTTTGTTTCTGTTTTTGCTCTCGATTCACCCCAACCTTCTGCCGACTCATCCAACCAACATACAACGTGAACCATGTCCCCGTCTGTATGTTGTGCCTGCTGCTCACACCACCCCAATCTGTAAATAACACGCAATTTCCATCCATGAAAACATCACATACAGGAAACGGTTGGTTCCCTGACTTTAAACGGTTCTGAAAACTCCCGGCTCTGCTTGCTCTGCTCCTGTCTTCTGTTCTGGGGACTCCACGCCACCCTCTGAGGCATGTCCTGGTCAGCGCAGTGCTCACCTCTGGCCTCTGGCACCCCCACCCCTCCTGGAGGTCTGCCGGGGCTTCCGAGGTCCTTCCAGCGGCCCTTGGTCTGGCGAACTGGCCTCAGTGGGGGTGTCCAGGACCTGCCGAGGAGGGGCATAGGGCTTTCTGGAGTGGGGGGCGGTGTTTCCTGTCGAGACTGGCTCAGGCTTGGGGCTCTTTGGCAGGACATGAGTTTGGTTCTAACCCTGCAAGTCCATGGTTCTGCCGCATCGTCATGTCCCCCTGCATGTCCCCATCCCGCTGACAGAGGATGCACCCTCGGCTTTCCAGGTGGTCTCTGGCAGATCCCCCCGTAACGTTTTCCTGGACAGACCCCTTATTAGGTGGTTAGGTCTGGAGCCCCAGGCTTGTGAGCAGAGTTTAGAGATCTTGTCTTCCTGATTCAGTGGGGTCGTGGAGGGCCTGCCTGTGAGGAAGGGTTCTGGGCCAGGAGACAGCAGAGCTCAGGGTTCCCATCCCACACCGTGGGCCAGGGGCTATCACAGGCCAAAGGCATTTTGAGAGGAGATCCGACCTTTCGCATCAGCTCGACCTCAGTGGTCGCTGTGGAAACGTGTCTGAGGTGGCAGGCATCTGAGACTCCTGTTGCACACGTGGGTGTGACACGGGCTCGCACAGTCAGAGGCCGTCTGATGCTGCGACTGCCTGGGCGTGCCCTCTGCACCCCAGCCAGCGTGCTGCCAGAGTCACCTTCAGAGAGCCCTTCTCTGGGCCCAGCCCGTCCCCTTCTCATGACACATGGCCACAGTGTGTACACGTGTGTTCCTTCCCCTCTTTACACCTCCTGCCCCCTGAGAGAGCAGCCCGTTTCCCATCGCCATACCTCGTCCTCAGTGTGATGTGTGGCCTGCTGGTGTCCGCAGCTCTGGGCCAAGCGTGCAGCTGCCACTGAGGGGCAAACCCAGCTTTCCTGGGCCTCTGGCCCGAGGCTGTGGTGGGCGTGGGCAGCAGAGATGCTACTGTGGCCTGGGGTCAGGTGGTCACCTTTGCAGCTGGCGCCCTTAGGTGCTCAGTGCATGCTTGATTTCTGTCTCTCAAGTACTCACCTCCTGAGCATGGTGCCCCAGATGTCCCCGTTTTGTGAACAAGGAAGCTGAGGGTTAGGGACCAACGTCCCCTCAAGATGAACCGGCCACTTCATGAGGTGCTGTAGTTGTGCCTTGGGGTTCTAAGCTCTTCCCGATTCAGAGATAGGGAAGGGCCTCGTCTGAGTGGCCGTAGCCGCCTCCTGGCGTGCAGAGATCGTGGACTCCAGCGGGGTGGGGCTGGCCTGTCCATCCCCAAGGGCCAGCGGAGGCCAGAGGTGACCATGGTGCACAGCCGTGGCTGCATGTGCTTGAGGGTCCTGTGTCCTGCATGCAGCTGTGTGGGTGCCTGGGTGCTGTGCTGGGGATATCTGTGGCCACTGTCACTCCCCACGGCTCCCTAGGGCTGCCTGTCTGCTACTACCCCACCTCTCCCAAGTCACCTAGGAGCAAGAAGCAGCCGGGCTGGGGGGACCTGAGTCCCAGTAAAACCCTGGTGCTGGCCAGCCTAGATTTCTGCAGGAAGTGATCTAGGTGCCCTGCTGGCTCCTGCCCCTTCTTTCTTACCTGAGAGGCTGTATTTCCAGCATCTTTAAGAAACCTTATCCATGCCAGCAGCCAGACAGCAGACTGCTCTGAGCGGGACAAGGGCTTTTCCCTTGGGACCTGCCTGGTGGTTTCACCGTAGAGACCCTGGGGGCCTCCATGCTATGCTGCTCCTTCACATTATACGAGGTCTCCAGCGCTGGGGCAGGGCCTCTCACCCTGCTCCTCCCTCCCAGCTGGCTGCTCCTGTGGGTCCTTGGGGCCCAGAGTGGTGTCTGCCTGCTGGTCTTTTCCCAGCACAAGTGGGTCCGGGGCTGCAGGCTGACCTGGGCCCTTGCAGGGTCATACCCTGAAGCCGACTGGTCTCTGTCAGCCCCTGTGGGTATTGTTCATACCTGCCCTGCTCCCACAGCTGCAGTGTCCTGCCCGGGACAGTCCCTTCAGGACAGCTCTGAATCTCCGCCCACAGAGACCAACTAGAGTCTCCCGTTTCCCTGCCAGGACCGAAGAACTTGCAGGGGTGGAGTGGATAGGGAGAGGGGCCCTTTCAGTGTGGCCGAGCCACTGTCCGTGGCAGTAAGTAGGACCCACTTACTGATGCCTTGACCCAGCCAGGATGGGCAGCCCTGGAGAGCCGTGCCCTGCCTGCCACCCGACCTCTGCACCTGCACATGCCCTCCTTCGCTGTCTCATCCAACATCTGTGCTCTCTTTCATTTGATGACTGGATCTGACAATACAAAGGTGTCTGACCCTGAGCCGCTTGCATATTAAAATATACCAGAACGGCAGGAAGCTGCTCTCGGGCTGCGTGTGGGCACCTGGCCTAGGTGGACGGGGAGTGCAGCCTGCGTCCACATATACCCCTGTTTGTGCATGGATCTTCCCTAGAGCCCTGAAGGGATGAGCCAGTAATCCAGGCGCCCTGGGCCAAGTGGAAGCCTCACTCCCAGGCAGTCTTTAGAGTCGTCCATCAGTCTGTCTGTGCTGGATTGGAGCGCTCTGGCAAAAGAGTGGTGCTAGATCCGCCAGGTCCTCTAGGGCAGAGCCTCCAGGACTGGAGTGCAAAGGTGGCTTCCGCAGTGAACAACCGCACTCCCTTCCCCTCCCCTGACTTGCTCAGTCACCTGGAGCAGCCCCAGAGGGCATTTGTCCCTCTGTTGGCCCCAGCTGGGGTTCCAGGCAGGCAGCGGCCTGCCAGGAAGGGTGCCAAGCCCGAGATGGGGGCAGCATCCCTTCAGGGGTGTGTGCTCCTTGGAGAAGCAGTGACTGGCACCTGGATAGTGACCTCTGTTGGAGGGTCTCCTCCCCACAGGAAGTGGCTTCCCAGATCTCTCTCCCTGTGGGGGCGGGGAGGGGCCCCCCCCGGAGTGCAGAGGGTCGTCTGATTTGCTGCATGAGGGGTGATCTGCAGAGCTTGGCTGTCCGCCGGTTCCTGGTGGCCAATCAGTGCTCAGATTGTGAAGGGAAGGGCCACTTAGTTTCCTCTTTCTTTTAACCACTGTCCTCCAGACCACAGGGGGGTGGGGTGGGGCTGGAGCAGCTTGCCTGCTTTCTGAAGGTCAGAGAACAACCCTCTCTGCAGAACAACTTCATCAACCTCAGCTTCCTGCGCCTGTTCCGAGCCGCGCGGCTCATCAAGCTGCTGCGTCAGGGCTACACCATCCGCATCCTGCTGTGGACCTTCGTCCAGTCCTTCAAGGTGACTGTCCTCGGCCGCTGCCCACCTCTGCAGCAGTCCCCTCGCTCCAAAGGCTGGGGAGGGGCGGGCATGCACATCTGCAGGTGCCGTCGCCCTGACGGTTTATAGTGAAGCCACCTGTGGGTCATCTTAGCTCACAAACTTCGAAGTGGCTTTCGTGACCTTGTCCCGTAGAGGGAGAAGTCCTCGTGGAGGGGCTCAGTGGTCGGGGGCCTGAGACCACCAGGTGGGGGAAGTGGCAGAGTGCTCCCTGCTGACATGCGTGTTCCTGCAGGCCCTGCCCTACGTGTGCTTGCTCATCGCCATGCTGTTCTTCATCTACGCCATCATTGGCATGCAGGTGAGTGCATTGGGAGTGGAGGGAGGACTCGGGGCTCTCGGCAGCTGGGCACAAGGCATTGTTCACCGTCCTTGTGTGATAATGGCCAGCCGATGCTTAGAGAAAATTGACTACAAGGCAGATGCACTAATGAACTTAATGCTTGGAAGGGCCATCTTAATGGAGGAGGACACAGGCACCGTGGGGTGGGCTGCTGCCCCGCGGTGGCAAATGGCCCGTCGGTTCCAGCAGATGCCCTGCAGTGCTCTCGAAGGTGGCTTTCAGGCATGGCAGGGTCAGGGTGCTGGGCACGCATGCAAGGCTGTGAGGGCATCTCTGAAGGGTACAGAAGGTTGTGCCCCGTGGAGAGGAGCTTGCCTGAGGGCGTGAGCAGGACCTCGCTGGGTGCTGTACTTGACGGATTTAACCTGTGTAGTTTCAGTTTTAAAGATGTTGCCAAAGAACACTTTGCCAGCTTTTGGGGAACAACAGCAACAACAAGTAAAAACACTAGACAGGCAAAGCCGTGCCCTCGTTCTGAACCTGTGCACCTGCTGTTTTCCAGCAGACGGCTGGGAGAGGGGCCTGAGTCTCCATTTAAGATGGGAGCTGCCAGTGTCCCAACAGCGAGCTGAAAGCTGAAATTTTTAGGCTTTTTTCACACAGTTTTATAAGTACTTTTTAAAGTTTATTTCTTCCATGAGATAAGAGACAGAGAACAAGGCAAAGACAAGCACCTGGCAGGTCTTCAGGCCACGCTCCCCCCCAGCCCAGCCCGCCAGGGCGCTGGGCGTCTGCAGCGTGCATGCAGGGTCCCGACACAAAGCCAGGACCACCCCATGGCCTCAGGAGTACTGTGTCCCCACCACACCCGGAAGCTGTGTTTTAACCTATTTGGGGGATAGAAAAGTTCTCTTGCTTTCAATTCTCCTGAGATCTTAGGCTATTTAAAACAAACATGCACTTCCTCCTGCTTCGGTCGCGCAGGTATGTAGGAGGTCTTTGTGGAGATCTGGTAGGTAAGTTTCAGCCAGATTCCAGATTTCAGGCTAAGTGCACTTCCTGACTGACTTGCATTTCTGACCCTGATAAAACCAAATGAATGGATGGGAAGCTCTCTGTGCGGCGTGCACAGAAGTTTCAGAAGCGGCTGTCCGGTGACCGGTCAGCCCTATGTCACTGCTTCACGATGGTTGATGAGAAGTGGACTTGAGATACTTGTCCCCCGCACAGCAGAGTCCTGGCAGGCTGGACCCCGGGTACTTCCACTGGTCACTCAGACACCTGTCACAAACAGGCTCAGAGCTGGGCCTGCACGTGTGCTAAGCACAGGCCATCCACACGGCCACGGTGCTGTCCCCTCCAGGAGGGTGTTTCCAGCTGAGAGACCGTGTGTGCCTCGGGGGGCCCTGTGTTGCACGCACTCTGTCTGGCCTGGCCCCGAAGTTCTGCAGTGCTACCACCACCTTCTCCCTCCAGGTCTTTGGAAACATCGCCCTGGATGACGACACCAGCATCAACAGGCACAACAACTTCCGGACATTCCTGCAGGCCCTGATGCTGCTGTTCAGGTGTGTTGTCAGGGGCATAGACCAGCGTCCACTCTGCTCAGGGTAGGGAAGTGGCTACAAGCCTGCGGCTCCTCCTGG